ACCTTCACTATCTGACTTGATAACAAATCAGGGATTTGAAAAAGAACTTGCTGCTTAGAAATCTCGGACATATCGCAATTTCCAAATTTCGACAATTTTGCATCAATTCTTCATTTTCATAAAAAACACTTACTGGCAGTTCCTTAAAAGAAATCTAAGAAGTATATTAACATGGGCACGAAATAAACATCTTTGAAGCTGTTTTGAAGTTGTATTGAACTAAGGTATCGCAATGAAATTGTGAATTGAGAGTTTTTGGTATCCCTCAAATTGCTTAATTCCAAGAATCTACGCCAATCTGTCTTATTTTTTTTGACAAATCATGAATTATTCTTACTGAATTTGATTACAGAAGTAATAATTACTACCACAGGTTTTGGATTTTTTGATATATTTTTTAGTATTTTTTTTTTTAATTTTTATGAAAAGAGACCAATTTTAGGAATAATAGACAATCTAGACTGGAATAAAATTACCTATTGCAAAAATTTAACTTAGATTCAAGTAGAAAGGGGTCAATACGAAATAGGCTAAAAAAATTAATCTGCACTTCATTCATACAACAATTTGGATTCTGTAGGAACTATTGCTTAACTCCATCTGTTATATTGAAAAGGCAATCAAACAATATTCGCAGCTTGAAAATTTACCATTAAGTATAACATTATACGCATATAGAATGGCCGGTCTATTAGTTGTCTACTAGTTGCTACATTATTATCAATGAATACAAATCTCATTTTTGGTAATAAAATATAGAATAATTATGCTTTCAGTATGGCTCATCTTGTTCGTACTCAGATCAATTTCAGTCGGATCAACGCTTGATTCCTCAGGATTTCGGACAGAGTTCAATCCAGTAATCCAAATTCATATTTTTGACAATAGTCGAGAAGCCAGAACTATCTACATTATTGCATATCTTCTTTAACTTAGATTCCGTAATATTTCGATTATTATTGGTATCTTCACCTTTTGGATATTCAACATGGAAAACAGGTTTATCAGCTTTGATAAAAGGTTGATAGTCCTTGCATCCTCCGTATTGTATACACTGTTCCTGTACTGACCACTCTACTAGTTTAACGACATCCTTGACTATGCTACCTGCATTTTTTAACCCTATTGACAAATTTCTGTGGTGGGCCTCTGAAGATAAAAATTCCATATACTCAATAGCATCTTTCTCTGTAAGCTTTAAACCATTATCATTATCGTATCCATCAACATTATCTGGGTCAACCCCATTACATTTCTTTTGTACAGCTAAATCCAATCTGGCCTTCATTATCTTTCGCACATTGTCGGACCTTACATTTAACCATCTCTCACCTTCCCACCCATCAAGAGGTTTACCGAGGTCACTTTTAGCAAAAGTTTTCTTATCAGGCCTCCAATTTTCGTAGCTACCAGCCGAAAAGTAACAAATGACCTTCTTTCCTTTTTTTTGTAAATTACGAATCGTTTTTTCTGAGTTTTCAAAGAGATCAATATCATATACTTCGACGCTTGGAACAAGAGTTTTGAAAGAAGAAGAAAGCTGATATTGCCATATGATACCTTTCTTCGGTTTCCATATATTTGTTTTCTTGTATGTAACCTCTGATGGCTCAGACTTCTCCACAGTTCTTCTATTTTGCGAAATGCCTACTCCAAGACCAACACCCAATCCAACTGCACATATGAAAAGGACGCATATTATCAACATCAAACGTCGGCTTAGAGCATGGGGGTTCATATTACTCTTATAATGCTTATTTTATAATTAAGTCATTCAGTAAGGAGTTATTTAAATATGATCGCATTTGATAGCGAAATTTACGAGAGTGGCTCATAAAATGATTTTTGCACTCCGGATAAGTTTTAGTCTTTGTTTTCCACAGCATTATAGATGAGTTAGCTTCTGTTATCGGTAGAACCGTCTAGGCTATTGGAAGTTGGATGGCAAGGGTATCGGATTTTGGCAAAGTAAATTACTCCCGGATGATATTGGCACCAGTTCCAGTGATGCTTAGAAGAAGTATCTCGTAAATTGACGACTCAGCAGCTTTTTTGAGCAATATTTTACCTCAGCATATATCTATAATCACTCAGCTTATACACACAAATACAGAAGAGAGGTATGAAACCGTGATGCGGTACTATTTACAAATGGAAAAAAAAATTGCTCAATTTAAACTCCTGATATGAAACCATTTCATAAGCCATTTCAGATGATATTAATTGCATGATTAGGATATATTAAATATTGGTTCAGTATTCTTATTTGATCCAATAGCTTGTAGAATATAGGGTTACAACCTTAATGAAGGAGTTTAGAATATACAGATATGAGAACTAGGAACGTTTTTAAACAAATAACTTGATTCAATTCATCAACCAAAGGTTGGTGGGCCAGCGAAATTGATCTCAAGATATGTGCAATTAATGTCGATGATAGGCTTGTAATGCGGAAAAGTATGATTCTTCGACTCAGAAACTAAACCATCCATTTTCGGGAATTCAACGAAGACGCCCGGAGAGTAACCAATAAGCCTGCAAGTCCAATTTCAATAGTGATTTCAAAGACGTGCTTATTAAAAATTATTTTCTTTCAAATCAATACAATTCTTAGATAATTTCTCTATGTTTCATGCAGAAAAGTTCATAGTATATATGGCTATTGTCATATTTAATAACGTTGGACTTAAATGCATCGATAGCTTGGTTTACAGCATCACATGACACTTAGACATTATACACAATTCAACGGTTAGTTTGACATATACCCTTATTAAGGAACCTCTAAGAATGGTGCATTATCGGATATGATTACCACTGCGAGCAATTTAATCGGTTGATATGGAGCGAGCATTTTGACATGCAGAATTGATCGTAAAACATGAGCAAATTTAAGTACTATGTTGAGTAGAGATTTTGCGCATTATTGCAAATGGACATCTTAGTATAAAAGTAACAATAAAGTAACATTAATAGGTTTACCATTGGATCATTTATGTTATACTTAGGATGAAAATGAGTTTCTTTAAGCGTGATGTAACATATAATGGTATGGACTGTTTGAAAGATGTCAACATGCCAGCATACGAAAGTGCTCACATGCAACTGCAAGCTGAAGTTCCTTGGGCAGATCAAACCAATTACGCAAAGTACACAGTTTATTTTGGAGTGGTCATAATATTTATTGCATTTGTTAAAAATATATGGTACAGATACCTGGATTATACTTACAAAAAGAAGTCGAAGGGTGGGAATTCATTTGTCAATGTATTGGCTTCATATTTTAGGTTTGTCGGATATAAACAAGTTCCAGGAAAAATATGCTATTATACATCGTTGCCAGCATCGATTGGATCTACACTCTTTTTAATGGCATCTACTATCTATTTATTTTGTTACTGCTTGGTACCACATTTTTGGTACAGGGGATGCCGTGGGTTTGGTTCACCTCCATTAGCTGTGAGGGCAGGAATAATGGCAACAGCATTGACTCCATTCGTATATGTGTTATCTGGAAAGTCGAATATGATTACGTTTTTAACAGGCATAAGTTATGAAAAACTTAACGTATTTCACCAATATGTTGGTTTTGCAGCCTTTGTGTTGTCGGTAATCCATACAATTCCCTTTATTTACCAAGATATAAGAGAAGGTGGAGCTGCGAACTTACATATTAATTTCACCTCGGACTTTGCCTACTATAGTGGGATTCCACCTTTGATCTTACTTGGATTATTATGTGTGTTGTCAAAAGCATGGTTCAGAAAAGTTTGCTATGAAGGATTTCTTCATTTACATTGGATGTTTGGAATTGCGTACTTTGGTACATTGTGGTGGCATATTGATAATACTTTGGGAATGCAAGGTTACATGTATGGTGCATTAGCATTTTGGGCAACTCAAATCATATATCGTATTTTAGTCAAAACTACATTCAGACCTAATTCTTTATTCATGAAACCAAGAAGGGCTGAATTGAGTAAATTAGGCGCCGATGCATATGAAATTTCTGTCACTGGAGAACATCTTAAATGGAAGCCTGGCCAACACTGCTTTCTTAGGTTTGTTGGCACGAGAATACTCGACAACCATCCATTTTCAGTATGCTCGATATTGAGCGAAGATAATAGATTGAAATTCATAGTTATTCCAAAGAAAGGGTTGACTAAGCAGTTACATGCTGAATTAGACAACTATGCAATAACGAACAAGAAAGTATTCTTAGATGGTCCATACGGAGGTACAGTAAGAGATTCATCGTCATTTGATAATACCATATTAATGACAACTGGAAGTGGTGTAACAGCCACATTACCTTTTTTATCCACGATTGCTAATGAAATTCAACAAGCAAAGAAAGATAATAAGCCATTAATATGCAGAAAAATAAACTTCATCTGGATCATTCGTCGATATGAGGACTTGAGCTGGATAGAGACAGAGTTAAATAGATGTCTTGGAATTGCCGGAGATTACATACATGCCGATATTTACGTATGTCAAGATGGAAATGAGCAACAACAAACTTCTCAAGAAATCAAAGCAAGTAAGAGTTCGCTGGAGATTGAGAAAACCATAGAAGCAAGAAGCACAGCAAGCGATGGTATCAATTTGCACTATTTCAAGCCATACATACCTGACATTTTGTTCAATCTTTCTCGCACACTTGGAAGACGAAACATGGTAGTATGCTCTGGTAGTGATTCTACAAAAAATGAGACATCCCGTACCATATCCAGCTTACAAGCTCTAATTTTCAACAACGATATCAATAACCTAGGTATCGAAGAAATTTATCTTCATACAGAGTCTTTTGGCTGGTAGTTAATACTAATATTGTTGATCCTCAATAGCAGGTTTATGTAAGTTCTATCCCTATATATATAAAGTTTAGCTCGGCAAATAAGCAGCTTGAGGTAGCGTTTAATCGCCGAGTTTGCAAGAGCTTCATAAATTTTTTTGCTTTAATTCTTACTGAGTTCCTAATATAGATATTAATTTACTCATGCCTTAATTGTAGACGCTTTTGTTATATTAAATGTAATTATTATTGGAACACTAGACGTTTAAGCTCCCGCCTTCACTGATGATAGCTTTTTCTAGGCCTTAAACTGATTTTTCACGAACGAAAAGTAAATTCCAATAACACAGCTAAATCTCACACGTAAAAAAACAGCAAGTAAGTATGCATATGGAGTTCTAGCAAGCTGATGAAATAACAAACTGTGTTTCTGGGTACAAAGGTTTCTTTAATAGTATAAAAAAATAGAAGATAGCATACTCCGGAGAAAATCAATGAGATAGCCCTCACCATAATTATCACAATAATAACTAGATATCGATAATTCAGACATGTCTTTGGTTGCTGCCTATCACCGGCTCCAGGCGCGGTCATTGCATACAGTTTAACATAACCGTGCGATCACTTCGGGGTCAATAACTTCGAGATGGCCCAAACCTTGTAAAAAATGTGTTATTCCCTAGTATGTAGAACTAAATCCAATATTTTATTATAGAAGTCAGATGTTTCTACCCCAACTGTGAAATTCAGCTTTTCTTATTCCACACATATAGTCAAAAATATCGTGGCGCCAAGCAGATTGAACCAATAGAACTCATTCTTTGCTTTTGAGAGCGAGAGACAAAGGCTCTTAAGCGCTTATCTCAAACTCCTCGTAATATTTTTGAGGTACACAATAGGCCTTTTGCTTCTTGTGCCGTACCTGGAAAAACTCCTCTCTACCTCTTTTACCCGAATAAATATTTTTTCCTAGCGGGACCAATCATGAATACTCAAGGCTGAAAATTAGGAAAAACAACTGCGGCTCAACAAAATAATTTACACGTACCCCACAGAGACTTACGAAATGCATACATTGGCGGACTCCGTTTTTCATAACACGCGCTTCTCATGCTCGAGTAGAGTAATGTTAATGTCCAGCAAAATATATTACTTGTGACATGAAGTTTTAGCTGCCGCCGTCTTCAAAAATTAATCTTCACTTTCATTCTTTACTCCTCAATCCTATATTCATGATCGATTCCAATTGCCATGAATATGTTGAGTGGAAAAATTAAAAAAACCTGGTCGAACGGAAAAATATTCTTAAAAAATAATCACTTATGGATTAACCCATCAAAAATTCGGCCCCCGCAAAAAGTCATCGTAAAAAAATATTCTTCTGTAGGAACAACTCAAAAAATAATTTGAGAATATGGAGAAATATTTTCTGGAACAATAAAGCCTATTGTTCTCGGAGCCGTACGTGGGAATGACCAGAAAATATTCCTGAGCTTTTTCCGAAAGAAGACGCAAAAGCTAACACAATAAGTCCAGTAAGGCAATACAATACACATGAGCACATTCTATCGTAAACCATAGATTTAACAAGGCACGGTATGGGGTAGCATCGTAAATTGAGATCAGGCAAAGGTATAAATAGGGCAGGAAAATTACAGTAAAAGATGTTTGAAAATGTTTTATATCAACAAGCTAAAAATACAACATGGGTTTAGAAGATAACGCGATTGTTAGAAAGTATGTCAATGTCGGGGAAAGAAAGGCTGGATCAGCATCTATGGGAATTTTCGTAGGTGCTTTCGCAGCATTCGGTGGTGTTTTGTACGGGTACGATACCGGTACAATTTCTGGTATCATGGCTATGGATTATGTCAGGGGAGAATTTCCAGACAACAAGAAGAATTTCACATCAAAAGAAAGTTCGTTAATCGTTTCTATTTTATCAGCTGGTACCTTTTTCGGTGCATTATTGGCACCACTTGTCTCTGATACCTTAGGTAGAAGATGGTCGTTAATTATTTCCACCTTCATCATTTTCAACTTGGGTGTTATTTTACAAACTGCTTCAACAGGAATTCCTTTATTATGTGCCGGTAGAGCCATTGCTGGTTTTGGTGTTGGGCTTATTTCTGCGGTTATTCCATTATATCAATCAGAAGCCACTCCAAAGTGGATTAGAGGTGCTGTTGTTTCTTGCTACCAATGGGCTATTACCATTGGTTTATTGTTAGCCGCATGTGTTAATCAAGGTACTCATAAAAGAAATGATTCTGGCTCATACAGAATTCCTATTGCTATTCAACTTTTATGGTCGTTAATCTTGGGTACTGGTATGATCTTTTTACCAGACACTCCACGTTTCTGGATTCACAAAGGTAATGAAGATGAAGCTAAAAAATCATTGAAGATTTTAAGAAAATTACCAATCGATCATCCAGACTTACTTGAAGAATACGAAGACATTAAGGCTGCATACGATTTCGAATGTTCTTTCGGAAAAGCTACCTGGACCGATCTTTTCACCACAAAGAATAGACAATTAAAGAGATTATTTACCGGTGTTGCACTTCAAGCATTCCAACAATTGACTGGTGTTAACTTCATCTTCTACTTTGGTACCTCTTTCTTCCAAAGTGCTGGTATTGAAAACGAATTTCTCATTTCTTTAGCAACAAACATTGTTAATGTCGGTATGACTGTTCCAGGTATTCTTTTAATTGAATTAGTTGGTCGTCGTTCTATGTTGTTATGGGGTGCTGTCGGTATGTCTGTTTCTCAATTTATCGTTGCCATTGTTGGTGTTGCAACTGACAGTACTGCTGCCAACAAGGTCTTAATTGCATTTACTTGTTTTTTCATTGCATTCTTCGCTTCTACCTGGGGTCCAATTGCTTGGGTTGTTATTGGTGAAATTTTCCCATTAAGAACCAGAGCTAAGTCTGTTGCATTATCTGCCGCTTCCAACTGGCTTTGGAATTGGGCTATCGCTTACGCTACTCCATACATGGTAGACAGTGGAAAAGGAAATGCTAACTTAGGAACAAATGTTTTCTTCATCTGGGGTGGATGTAACTTCCTTTGTATTATGTTCACCTACTTCTTCATTTACGAAACCAAAGGTTATTCTTTGGAACAAATTGATGAATTATATGAAAAGATTCCACATGCTTGGAAATCTCGTGGTTTCATTCCTTCTGTTCACGCCTTCAGAGAAGATGGAGCAGAATCGATCAGCTCTGTTGGAAAAGATTTGGAAAAAGTTACTGAAGTTGAAACCACCTCTGTTTAATCCGCGATTACGCATTTAATTCTCCCTTGAAATATAATTTTAAATATAATAATTTATACTAATATATAATAACTTTATTATTATAACAGTCTATAACATAATTAACTTAGCTCTACTTATAGAAATACGTTACTGCTTCTCTGGGATGCTTTTTCTAGCATCTAAAATTTGTGCAACTGTATCAACAACCACCTTCTCTAAAGAACTGAAATCGAACTTCAAAATTTGTCTTGTTGTCTCATTACTCATCTTTGCCAAAGTCACAATATCCTGGGGCCCTGTTCCAGGATTTCCAATAGGAATTTTGCCTTTCAATTCTGGGAAATTTTTGTTTATAATATCTAGCATCATTTGGGTACTAAAGTGACCATTAGTTAAATAAAGTCTTTTGTTGATGGTATCTTCACTTTCAAATGCCAACAAATGAGCCTTGGCAACATCTCTCACATCAATAAACCCTCCTTTATCGTTATCAAACGAATCAGAAGGACCTAATTTGATTAAAGTATTAATTAATTCGTTGGACGTATTTAATTTGCCCTTCACTTCACTTGCAAATGCTTGTGGCCCAAAAACATAGACTGGATTGACAGCAGTTAATTTGAAATTGGGATTGTTCTCTTGAACGAAATCCCAAGCCGCTTTCTCAGCAAAAGTTTTTGCCCCATAATAGGCAGCGATTGGGTCTTTAATGGCATCTTGATAAGAAATGCCGTTCCAATTATTTTCATTGAATGAAAGAGTAGAGTTTTGTTCATCATCTGCGGAGTAGATTGCAGCATCAGAAGACGTAATGACGACTCTCTCAATCTGTGTTCCATATTGTTTTACGGCCTTCAATATGTTCTCAGTACCATTAATAGCTGGAAGTACCAAGTCATTTTCTGGATCTGTCGTGTCATAAAAAAAGGGAGAGGCAGTATGTAATAAAACATTAATTTCGGAATGCTTTTCTAAAACCTTGTCGAACGCACCATCAACACTTATATCCGGAACGATTTCGTACGTGAATTTTCCACTAGCCAAGCACTTCTTCAAGTTTTCACCTTTCTCTGCGGTTCTTACTGTTCCGATAACATTATAGCCCTTTTCGATTAATAATTTGACAATGTTCTGGGCAATAAACCCAGAAGCTCCTGAAACAAACACTGTTCTTGTCATAATGTGGATTAATTGAAATATAGAAAGATCGTGTTGACAAAAAATCGAAAAGTCTCTTATCACTGTTGAACCGCGCACACTGCAACACCTGTGGGGATTATAATAATACTTAGACAACAAAGATGGTTCATCTCGTCAATATATGCTCTTATGTTAAGAAATCAAGCTATACTTCTTCTAGATGGCATAACGTAAACGAAAGAATTAATTTGTGGACATGGAATATTTAGAATTTATATATCCAGATAATTTTGCAATATAGGGTTTGCAATTAGGTTTGAAGACCCCATACTGGATGGATAAATTTACAAAGCTTCATGAAGGCAAGTAACTACAGGGCTGAAATATATTATAGTACTTGGTGATAATAATGTATGACTCGGACAAAATCAAAATTTGATAGATTTTTGAATCGTTATCGCTTCAAATTACCGTATTAAGCAATTCGTTAATTTGGTTATCTGAATTTCTCAAAATATATATATATGACTAATAGAAGAACTTGTTTTTACGAAATATATTCAGCGAAATAATATGTATATTCCAAAATACTACGCCGAAGATAATTGGGAACAGCAAGAGAGTCTTATCAAAGCTAATCCATTAGGAACTGTAATTTCTTTAGGAGAGAATGGGCTCATAGCGAATCATATACCATTTTATTTGCATATTGATAAGGATACCAACAAGAAGTATTTGCAAGGACATATTGCGAAAGTGAATCATCAGATACCCTCATTCAAGGAGGATGGCGAGATTTTAGTTATATTTCAATCCCCTAGTTCGTATATAAGCCCCTCTTACTATCCATCCAAACAAGAAACCCATAAGTTTGTACCTACTTGGGATTTTGCTAGTTTGCATTGTTATGGGACATCGAGAATTATAGACGATTTCGATTGGGTTAGGGCTCAGCTTAACAATTTTACAGATCAACAAGAAATCAAGAGATCAGACCCTTGGAAAGTGAGTGATGCACCTGAGAATTACGTAAAGCTAAAACAGAAGGCTATTACTGGCTTAGAAATTGAAATAACCAGAATTGAGTGCAAATTCAAGTTTGAACAAGAGAAGAAAAAGGAAGATATAGAAGGAGTTGTCAGAGGTTTGAACGAAGATAACAAACCGGATATCGCCCAATACGTCAAAGATGCAAATGAAACATCTTAATATGATATATTATACAGTAAACTAATTAGAGGAAATAATAATAAATTCAAGTATATTACAGGTATTTCGTAGACTTTAGGTCGTAATCTATACATTATCCATGTACGTCCTCTACATTTCTAGTACGGCGTAAATCTGTTTCCGCCTCTGCTTCCACCTCTTCCTCTTGGACCTCTTCCTCTAAACCCACCTCTAAAACCACCTCTACCTCTAAAACCACCTCTTGGAAAGCCACCACCTCTATTCGTAGAACTCATCCCTGGGACATTTGTCCTCTTAGCACAAACCTTCAATTCACGATCTCTGAAGGTAGAACCGTCCAACGTTGCTACTGCTTTATTGACTCCATCAACATCTGCAAATTCCAAATATGCAAATCCTTTAGGCTGTCCTGTAAATTTGTTCAATGGTATTGTGACTCTGTTAACGACTCCACTGCTTGAAAAATGTTGTTGTAATTCTAGAGGAGTAGAGCCATAATCCACATTACCAATATAGACAGAACGAGAATCAATGTCTCGTCTTTCTTCTTCGGAAGGATCATTATTCGAATCATTGCTTAATTGAGAATGAAGTTCTCGTAATCTAGCAGCTTCCCTCTCCATCTCTTCCATACGTGATTTCTCTGTATTTGATTCATCATTATTTGTATTTCCTTGGCTATTGCTAGGTTCCTTTATATCTTGTTGTGAAGTCTCCATCTCATTTGAATCCACTTGTGACTCTTGGGGCTTTTGCTGTTCTTCAATAGGCACTTCTTCTGACATATTTTATATTTATTAACACTGAAGCTTCTTTTGAGCAAAGAATATGATTAGATAATTGAAAACAGAGAATATTGATAGATTTATAATCCTACAGATTTGGCATCAAGAACTATGTAGTTCTTCGCTGTACGACATTTCAAATTTTTTAAAATGTCGCAGCCATTTTACATCGAGGAGTAATAAGAATATGCAATATTTATTATGAGAATCTGAATCTGTAAGGAGACTTAGAAACCCCCTGGTAAATTTCTTTCTCTATTTAATGATTTAGTAATATTATTGCCTTTAATAGAAACAGGGGCTGTACCCGTTACTTCATTATTATTAATGGAACCATATTTGACACGTTTTGACCTCTTACCATGTAATGGTAATAAGTGATCACTTTCTGCTCGTATAAAATCATCATCAGTTTCGTAGCCTTGATCGTATGCATTATCATTTTCGCCAGTTTGAATTCTCATGTATGTCAGTTCATTGCCTCCAAACGTCGAATCATTTGAATTTGCTGACAATTGTGGAGGTTGATCAATTCTAGAACGACTAATAAACACGAAGACACTGAATATGACCAAACCGAATAATAATAGCCCTAATATTATACCTACCCCAACACTTATAAAACCAATGTGGATATGTAAAAATGTATTCTTATCTGGGTCTTCAAGCCATTTCAAATTCAATGGTTTGTCTATCAAAAAGACACAGGCCGCATCCAATGAAGAGTCGTTAAAAACAGATGTGCAACCGTGTGATAAAATCTGAACCTCGCGGTCCTTATTATAAGACATGCTATCAAAATTAGAATCTTTTGATGCAGCATCAGTAGACGTTAATCTTAAAAATGTCTTATCTCTGAGGTGGTCTTTGCGACAACTTAAAGTAGTATCTGATAAGTTGGTTTTAATAGTGTACTCAAAGTTAGCGAAATCTAATGAGTCATTGGTTGGGTTCAAACCGTTGACACATGAGACTAATGCATTAAGTTCTGAATTAGGTATCAAATGAAATTCAAGGAAATCCCATAACTTAGTAAAGTCTGAAGTGATGTTAAAGTCCTTTAAGGAATCTGCACTCGGGATTAATAAAGAATAGGTATGATTAATATTCTCATCTGAAATGCCCAATACATCAGAAAGTTTCGGGTAAGTGTCAATCAAATTTAGAAATGAAAAGTCTGGATAGTTGGGGTCCTCAGTTGTCTTTATTAAATCGGAAAAAGATATGCGGAAAGATTCAGGAAGTAACACTTCGTTGATAATGTGAATCACGCCCTGGCTAAATAAAATATCAGAATTTAAAGGTATTAATAATTCTGTATTATTCAAAGAAAGCAAGTTGTAATAGTTTTCATCGACATGGGAGTGGACAATGTTAACACTATCACCTCTCAAGTTAGTAGAAGTCGTTTGGTTACGTTGCTCGTACATTCCAAAATCAGAATATATTGTATCCTCAACAAACAACCCTCTAAGCAAGTCCTTGAAGTATTCAGGATTTGACTCTAAAAAGTTTAATATTAGACCCATAGACTTCCAAGGCTCTCTGGTTTTTCGTTTTTTACTGAACATGTTGCTATTTTTTTCTTGTTCAATATAACCACATGGCAAAAATATAGAATAGCCCCTCTTGTTTTCCATTAAGGATAATAAATCGAACTGCTCCAAATATCTAAGGGTAGTCAAAAAGCTTCTTCTGTCAATCTCAAAATTCTGTAAATGGCGACTAACGCCGCCATTTGACAACAATTTCAGTAGCGATTGCTTTAATGATAAAGGAGGACTGATATCTTCCTCCGCTATATATATCACGTTATCATTCTCAGTCTTCACTCCAGGAAACACGATATTTATATCATCATTGATTGTAGCTTCAATTTTCTTTAAATCAGTATTATAAGAGGCAGAAAACTTTGTTTTAAAACATGACCCTATCTTACTTTTTGAGCATAATTTAGAATCAAGCAATCTATAGAAATTCTCAAACCTCAAGCTTTCCGTGATATTTTCAATGTCAATCATTTGATCTGAAAATTGATAGTACATTATCTGCTTATAACTAAAATGTGAACCATCATAAGCTGATGGCGAAAAATCGCTTTCACCAACTTGATCTCTTTGAGAAGATTCAACCAATATAGTTTGATTACTTGTAGATCCATCTATCAAGTGGTGTAAGGATCTAAATTTCAACTCTTTTACAAAATTAGAGTATTGCATTGCATACAAAGCTTTTCGAGGCAGAATTCTAACCAATGGTACGTTCAAATCCTGAAAAAAATTATGGTATGTTTGGTTCTGAATGTCAAAGACATGTAATATAGCATCAGAAAATGCCAAGTTTGATGCATTTATTGAACTAGGTATCCTGTCATTCAACAAAAGCTGCCAGGTATCCTTTTCAAGAGAAAAATTGAATTCACTTCTACCATTTATGCTCAGATAATCTCTCGAAGTCCCATTCACACCTCCAATCAAATGATCTATCATCAAGCTTTCCAAGAAGTTAACAATATCATTCTTAACTTCCAACACTGCTTCCTTTGTCATTGAATATTTCTTTCCATTAGAATTTTTACTCAATGATAACAAATACTGACGAGTTATGTCAGGTAAGGATTCGGCCACATATGCATCTGATAACATCAAGAAGGTCTTAGTACGTGACATAAATTCTTTACATGACAGCGGCAATTTAGATAGTCTTCTTCTTTCATTTCCCGAAATTTCAATATAATTCTCGTAATCAGCTTCACTCATTGAGCCATGATCTTCAAATAACTGGTGAAAGAGTTGCCTCATAAATGACATCGGATGTGGTCCCAAATTTGCATTATCATCATCCGAAAATAAAAGCTCACACAAGGTTGGCTTCAAAGGTAGTAATGAATCAATGCCTTGGACAAAAGAATCTTGATGCTTAGCATGAATGTCGACCTCAACTATTGCTGCTGTATCATCTACAATGTATTCAGCATGCTCGAAGTCAGGGGATATAACAACCGGATAAGGTGATCCCTCTACGTCGTATAACGTATTATAAATGACTTTCTCAGTACCTAAGTATCCTACTCGGAATCTCTGGTTTATGACGTATCTTAATAATATGTTATTATCATGCGGTAACTCTTTATCCACATCTTCATCTAAGCCTGAGGTAAATGCCAGATTTACTGGGGCCAATAATGTAACATTTGACAAAGAGTTGATAATAGGTATCATTCCATTGCGTTGTAGATGTCGTAAGAAGTATGAATATTCCACTTGTGATGATAGTATATCAACTAAGGTCGAGGGTGTAGGTGTTGGTAACTCTGATGTAGTTGAAGGTTCAGCTACTACTAACAATATCAAAAAGTAGAAGAATATAACAAGCTGTTTATACCAAATCATGTCATATGTAACTTATATATCAATCCTGCCTATGACCATAAGAAAAGGTGTATTGATCCATAAAACAGTTGATGTTATCTTTTTTGATAGAGAAGCGCTCGCACGTGAAATTACAAGGCACAAGTTAAATTAATTGATAGTGATAGACATGAAAGGATATGCATTAATGAATTAGAAATATAAAATGAGGTTAAGGGACTATACTTAAGCTTGAAACGAAATCCAGGTAATATTGTATCCAAATACGATTGGGTGATCTAAAAGTTCAATACTGCCCATGTACCAATAAATGCTAAGATAACGGATACAAAAATGGCAATAGATACAATAGCTTTTTCAAAGGCTTGTAAAGAATTATTGCATAATTTTAAGTAAAACAAACATGGTAATATAATGCAAACCAAAAAGCAAATCGACGAGCCTAAAATGCCGATTACTCGATCAAACTCAGGAAAAAGAATAGCCAACCCAACGAAAACAGCGTTTACTCCAATCCTAATTACAAGCTTAATGAAGGAGTTGAAAAAACGTCTGAAACCATTCTGGGAGGATTTATCAACGTTGAATAAAATATCTAAAGTTGAAATGATGGGCTTTGCATTCAAAGGAGTCTTAGCTAATGGAATAAGGCAGATTAAACCACTGAGCAAAGGATAACACCATATTGGGTAACCAGATGTAACTAGTAAGTTATTCGTAATCTCATTATTGCAGTATGCTCCAAACATCAAGAAACCTAAGATACCCATTGATAAGTCGGTGACCAATGTAATCGAATATGTTGTTGATAAGGTCCCAGTGAATTTATGCGGATGCCTCATATCAGATTTCAAATTAGGAAAGATGGCATGACCACCAAAAGGTGCCATAAGAATACCTATAGCCAACAATAGATCAGGAATTGACTGAGGCCACATATTAGTTGGCATAATAGAAATTAATGAACCTGGAGAGTCTGGTTTCAAGAAACCACACACCAATACTAACAATGTAATCGAAATCGTAGATATTATCCCAAATAATGAAAAGATAGATAATATAGGTAATGGTAGAAATGTAAATGGAGTCAAGACGAAAAAGCTGATTAACTTGAACTTTGTTTTAGTCCAAACTACTTCATCACCGAGTAATGCAAAGAGCGAATCACTGAATAAAACAATTAACGATACGCCCGCTCCTAATAAATCCATGGAGAAGATTAAAGAAATAAACAATTTTGCCATTGAGCCATAAGCTGCGTAACCTAAATCAGCATATGTCATTATTGTCCTGTCAGTATCCATAGCCTTTGATAATAAAGTAGCAGACCAGTATGTTGTCAAACCACAACAGGCTAATAATGGAACTCCGATGACCCATCCTGCTTTTAAAATACCAACTGGCAACGCCAAGAGACCCACGCCAATCAATACATTAATAGAATTGAATATAGTCTGTGGAGCAGTAGATTGCCCCTCTAAAACAGTAACAACATTTCCATCTTTATCCTCAATCTTCGTCAAATTGAACCGGGAAGCTGTTGTAGCCATCGAAATCGATGACCTAATGCTGGAAAATGACGGTGATGGAAATGACTTCCTTTTGTTGATATTGATGGGCATAGCACCACCACCCGTATATGTGGAATTTTTTCTTGATTTACTTTGATTCAACACGTTGATAATATCATCCTGGTAAAACACATCGTTGTTGGGCGAAATATTATGGTCCGCCCCGTTAAAAACCAGGTTCTTGTTCATCACATCGTGAAGAACTACGCTCAATCTTTCACCTCTCGCAGATGGAACCATCAACTCTGGATCGAATAACTCATCGTCAACAACCGAATCGTGTTGAACATTGCTATCATTGTAAAAAAATGATCTTTTCTTCCGAATATCATTATCAATCTTCGAAGCAGCAAATGATTGTGCTCTGGTGAAAGAACTTGCAAAGTTATGTAACGAATTTGGACCTTTGAACGAACCCAAAGGTGCATCTAAAATAGAATGTGTGGGTCGTCTACTCCGTACAAACGGAGTGGTCTCATCGATAGCAGTATCGTCTTCAGAATATTCCATATTAACCACCGCCTATCTAGCACAATATATGCTTATAAATGCAATTCTTTACTATAGAAAGTCTAGTTCTAGATTATTAAGTCGTCGAAAACATTCAAGATCAACGATGTAGATAAGTTAAACGAAAAGGGTATTTGTTTGATAAGAATTACATAAGCGGAATTTTTTCATGTATCTACAAAATGAATCATAGTAACTACGGAGACAACAAAACTGGTAAATAGATTTTGTAAATACATGACATCAATTCAACGACTAAAGAAGGTCATATACCAGTATTTACGGACTTTTTCGGGTCCTGAAAGACAACTTTCCTCCAGACAAAAATGGGTACTTGGATTAATAAATTTGTCTTCTGTGGTTGTATTTTGGGTGCTATCATCCTTCTTGGTAAATGATTTATTTGAAACAGACATTTATAGAAAGCCATTCTTTATAACATATCTTAATACTGCTTGCTTCAGTTTTTATTTAATTCCATATATGAAATATAATAATATCAGTGCATCGGAATTTGTCCGGCAGTTGAAGGCTGAATATGGCGAGAAAAAGATGAAGCTTGATATGGAAGATGGAACGGTGTCTAATATAGACTACGGGTCGAACGACAACTTGACAAATTTAGATACAGATTACTCCTCAGGGTCAGAAAGTGGTAGAGATGACGACATTGGGATATACGAGAGTGTAAAGCTATCATTACAGTTCATAATGCTTTGGTTTTCGGCGAATTTGGTGACTAATTCTTCATTATCGTATACTTCGGTTGCATCCCAGACAATTCTTTCTTCAACTTCGTCGTTTTTCACCTTAATTATTGGGTTTTTGTATTCGATAGAAAAAATCAACCAAAATAAGATTGTCGGCATACTTTTGAGTTTCACGGGGGTTTTGATTATTACTAAAATAGACACATCTTCTAGCAACCCTTCTGATTCAAATGCCGTTATTTTGGCAGGAAACTTACTTGCATTACTGGGTGCTTTGATATACGGACTTTACACGATTTTGCTTAAATTTAAAATTATGATCAAAAATTCAACTAGAGAAAGAAACCTAGATACTCATTTATTTTTCGGATTTGTTGGAATATTTAACACTCTTTTATTATGGCCCATCTTGATTTTACTTCATTTTACAGATATTGAAAAGTTCGAATTACCTTCGAATAATAGGACTATAAGCTTGCTATTAGCCAACGCACTTATTACATTCATTAGCGATTTTTGTTGGTGTAAAGCAGTTTTGTTGACAAGTCCATTGACCGTTACTGTGGGTTTATCAATGACAATTCCACTAGCCATGGTTGGCGATTGGGTACTCAAAGGCTTTTCAGTGAACTGGTGGTACTTGTTTGGAGCCTTTATTGTAACAGTTGGATTTTTAATCATCAATAAAGACGAAAAGGAGGACTTTGTCAGCAACCGTGAAACTCATGATGAAAGTCAATAAAGTATAGATATGTATTTAAATCGATAATACCCAGAAATTTTGTGTAACATTAATCTTGAATAGAAAAATCGTAGTTATCGTCTACCTGAAATAGGTCTTTCTGAAGCTAATACAATGATATTCAGAGACTTTATATCGCTTATAGCGGTATTCTCCTTCATATCTATAGTGTGTGGGGATTCGATCAATGCACAAGCGTTAACGAAAAAATCGTTGGAATCTCCTAATTTTATTGTCCCAATAACTCAATCAGATTTATCAGGTTTAGCAGAAGAAAGGGACTATTATACGTTGTTAATTTTGACATCGACAGATCCAGAACATGGATGCGGTACTTGTGAAACTTTAGATCGAGTTGTTAGAAGAGTAGCTGAATTTTGGTTTGCAGACTATTCTTTATCAAACTTTTTATTTTTTGTCAATATTGATTTGGCCGATAAGTCAAACGCTAATTTGTTCAATTACCTAGGAATAAATACAATTCCCCATGTGTGGCTTATTCCTCCAAGCAAAACTACATCCAACATAAATTACAATGATGACAATGGATACGGAATATTAAGTGAACCTCATTTACTATTTAAACTTCCAATGACTGGATTCGAGAAACAAGTCAAGGAACTAACCAAGTTCTTATCCCTGACCCTACACAAAACGATTCGTGTCAGACAAGAACAACCATTCGAAAAATTTATATTAGCTTTTGGGCTTACTTTTTCTTTGATTCTAGTAATTAAAAAGAGAGGACCTAAGATTGTTACTAATCTTACTAAGAAAAAAATTTACAAAGCTCTTGTGCTTATGGCAATACTAGCATTTACATGTGGCTACAATTTTACAGTTATGGAAAAGGTTCCATTTATCGCTAAGGATGGAAATAACAATATCGTTTACATTAGTGGGGCATTTCAATACCAATTTGGAGTTGAAATTATTATCGTTGGTCTTAATTACTTAGGGTTAGCGTCCAGCTTAATCAATCTTATCTACCTAGGAAACTACAAAATCAATTCTACTAGCAAGATTCCAAGCGAACATGCAAAAACTCTTTGCATTTTGATCAATGTTTTAATAATATACCTTTTGTCCAGTTGCTTGACCAGTGTCTTCTTAAAAAAGGAACCTTACTATCCTTATCACTTCTCTAAATTGTTTTAGTGAATATTAGACTTATGTATGATTGCAAATATAATAGAAACTCGGTACTAACACAAAACGCGTAACTTCATTTTATAGGTGAAGGTGAAATGATTCAAGTAATTCATATCAGTAATACGTTTGCTCGTCGTGCTCTAGTTTTAAGAATGTCGAATGGATCAATTGCTGTTAAACGTTCATTAGGATCTAATGGGAAGCCCGACCTAAAAAAGCCAAAACTAATAACTGATTTCTTTCAACAGAAATCAAAAGATGTTACAGCTGAATCTACCAAGAAATCAGAGTCAATTGGGATTTCTAACAACCAAGAAAAGCATACGACAAGCGTGATAACCTCGAACGAAACGATCGCTAAAGAAAAACTTAATACTACAAATATGAACATTAATAAGGATGACTCGAAACTTTCAGACGAAGAAAAGTACGCTGAATTCTGTGCTGAGCATAATTTCAATAAACAAGAATGGGTTGACTCTTTGACAATAGAACAGAGAGATCTATTAGACTTAGAGATAAAACATTTACATATTACATGGTTAGTATTTTTGCACAAAACAATAACCCAACCATATTTTCTAAAATTGAAGCTGTTTTTAAAATCCCAATCAAATAAAACAGTCTTCCCTCCAAGAGAACAAATTTATTCATGGTCTCATTACACCCCATTACCTTCTATTAAATGTCTTGTCTTGGGCCAGGACCCATATCACAATTTCAATCAAGCTCACGGGCTAGCATTCTCAGTATTAGAGCCAACTAGACCTCCTCCATCTTTATTGAATATCTACAAAACTTTGAAAATCGATTATCCCAACTTCAAAATCCCCGAATATCACGCATTGGCCAAACAAGGTAAACCTGGAGGAGGTAATTTGACCAGGTGGGCCAAACGAGGCGTCTTACTATTGAATGCTGTATTAACCGTTGAATGCCATAAGGCAAATAGTCACGCTAAACAAGGATGGGAAACGTTCACAGAAGAAATTTTAAAAACTGCAATAAATTATTATAACAAAGAACAATCAAGTGGTTTCGTTATAATGGCATGGGGTTCTCCAGCTCAAAAGAGAATATTGAATTTTAATGCTCTACTTAAATCAAACAAGTTTTTAGTTTTAAAAACGGTTCATCCATCACCATTATCAGCTAGAAGAGGCTTTTTTGATCTGAAAGTTTTCAAAAATTGTAATGATTGGTTGGCCGAAAATGGGAATAATAAGATTGACTGGGGGTTAATAGATGGTAACGTAGTTCTTTAAACAGTATTTAGTTTCAACACGATAGAATAGAACAATCTAACGAAAGTATTACCCGCACGCGTAGATGATATAAGTTTTTTTGTATATACTTTTCAATATGTTTTCGGGTTAATATTTTGAATCCTGAATCAGATTAGCAGATATCATATAAACAACGTGTTTTAATAGTTCTACAAGTATCCTTATTATTTCGAATCGTTAAAAGTTTAATTTCAGACGCTGATATAAATTAAAGAGTTTCTGCGAGTGAAAAGGTTGCAACATGTCAGATCGAGAGGATAAACCAAACCATTTCAGGGACACTGAAACAAGGGAGCAAAGGAAAAAGCGATTTATACTCGACACAGACCCTAAGACAGCTAAACTCAATGATGCCGATGATTCAACTAAGAGATTCAAGTATTTGTTGGGGTTAACAGATCTTTTTAGATACTTCATTGACTTGAATGCATCCAAGGACGCACAATTCAAGAAAATAATTAGGCAAATAGATGATAATGTCTCGTTTAAGCAGCCTAAAACTACGAAGAAGAAAAGAAGAAAGACAGAGAAAGAAGAAGACGCAGAATTGTTGGAGGATGAAGAACATATGAATGACGAGGAATCTCAACGTACAATAATAACGGAATCACCTAGTTTTGTTAAAGAAGGAAAATTGAGAGAATATCAAATTCAAGGATTGAATTGGTTGATATCTCTTTATGAGAATAGATTAAGTGGTATACTAGCGGATGAGATGGGACTAGGAAAAACTTTACAGACTATTGCCTTTTTAGGATATCTCAGATACATCAAGAAAATAGATGGCCCCTTCATTATTATTGTACCAAAATCAACACTCGATAACTGGCGAAGAGAATTTTCAAAGTGGACCCCAGATGTTAATGTAATTGTATTACAGGGAAATAAAGAGGGTCGTAATGAGATAATACAGGATAAATTATTAAATGCTGAATTTGATGTTCTAATAACCTCATTCGAAATGGTTATTCGCGAGAAAGCTCATTTGAAGAAATTTAGATGGGAATACATTGTTGTTGATGAAGCACATCGTATCAAGAATGAAGACAGTTCATTATCGCAAATTTTAAGGCTATTTTATTCTAAGAATAGATTATTAATTACGGGTACACCACTTCAAAATAATCTTCATGAATTATGGGCATTGCTAAATTTTTTGTTGCCTGATGTGTTTGGTGATTCTGATGTCTTCAATGAATGGTTTGAAAACCAGGGTGGTAAAACGGACGAAGACAAAGAAAAGAATCAAGATAAAGTTATTCAACAATTACATAAAGTTTTGAGTCCCTTTTTATTGCGTAGGATCAAGGCAGATGTTGAAAAATCATTGTTACCTAAAATTGAAACTAATATTTATATTGGTATGGCAGATATGCAAATAAAATGGTACAAAAAGTTATTGGAGAAAGATATCGATGCTGTTAATGGAGTTGTGGGCAAAAGAGAGGGTAAGACCAGATTATTAAATATTGTGATGCAATTAAGAAAGTGCTGCAATCATCCTTATTTATTTGATGGTGCAGAGCCTGGCCCACCATATACCACTGATGAGCATTTGGTTTTTAATGCTGGAAAAATGATTATATTGGATAAGATGTTAAAGAAGTTCAAGAAAGAAGGTTCTAGGGTTTTGATTTTTTCACAAATGTCAAGATTACTAGATATTTTAGAAGATTACTGCTATTTTAGGGATTATTCGTATTGCAGGATAGATGGCTCAACTTCCCATGAGGATAGAATCGAGGCAATTGACCAGTACAACATGCCGGACCTGGAAAAATTTCTATTTCTTTTAACTACAAGAGCAGGTGGTTTGGGAATCAATTTGACTAGCGCCGATATAGTTATATTGTATGACTCTGATTGGAATCCACAGGCTGACCTACAAGCCATGGATAGGGCACATAGAATTGGTCAAAAAAAACAAGTCAAAGTCTATAGATTTGTCCATGAAAATGCGATTGAAGAGAAAGTTCTAGAGAGAGCAGCTCAAAAATTGAGATTAGATCAATTAGTTATTCAGCAAGGAAGACAGATAAATGCCAATAATTCTGTTGGCAGTTCGAAGGATGATTTATTAGGAATGATTCAACATGGAGCTAAAAAAGTCTTCGAGTCCCAACAAAGTTCTACTATGCTAGAAGACGACATTGATGCAATTTTGCAGAAAGGTGCCGAAAAAACAGCGAATTTAAATGCCAAGTTCAATAATTTGGGTTTAGATGATTTGCAAAATTTTACATCTGATTCTTCAACATATGAGTGGAATGGTCAAAATTTCGCCAAAAAGGACAATCTGGAATTGGAATTCACTTGGATTAATCCATCTAAGAGAGAGAGAAAGGAGTTGACATACTCAATTGATAATTATTATAAGGATGTTTTGAAAACAACTCCTCTTGCAAATAAGAGCAATAATTTGCTGTCAAAATTTAAGGCACCTAAAATATATAACATTCAAGATCATCAATTTTTCCCTAATGGCTTAAAGGAACTACTTGAAAGAGAGCAATTAGCTTATAAAAAACAGATTGGTTATAGGTTTGCTTTAAATGAGTTTGGTGACAGTGACGAAGAATTCTTGACTGAAGAATTTAAGAATGAATTGCCTAGAGAGGAGAGAAGAAGGATTGAGCAAGAGAAAGTGAATAATGTTGTACCATTATCAGAAGAGGAGATCGAGTTAAAGAATAAATTATTAGCTGAAAGTTTCCATAATTGGACTAGACGAGATTTTACGAATTTCATTCATGGATCCGCGAAGTTTGGTAGAAATGATTATTCAAGAATCGCAAAGGCAATGGGTAATAAAGATAAAGATGATGTAGAGCGTTATCTGAGAAAGTTTTGGGAATCTTATTCTTTGATTGAGGGTTACGATAAATATGTATCTCAGATTGAAAGCAGCGAGAAAAAAATTGCCAAATTATTAAATCAGCAAAAGCTTTTAAGCATCAAGATGGAATCGTTAAAAGACCCTTTAGAGGAATTGAAAATCCAATACCCTCCTAACAATTCCAAAAGAGTTTACTCGAAGCATGAAGATAGATTTATATTGAGTTGTGTTCACAAATACGGCTTATTTAGTGAGAACTTATTGGAGAAAATTAAAGAAGAGATAGCTATGAATGATTCTTTCAAGTTTGATTGGTATATGTTATCTAGGACACCACAGGAATTAGGAAGACGTGTTAATACGTTATTGTTGGCAATCACGAGAGAGTTAGAAGGCCCGTCTACTATAAAAAAGAAAATAAAGGGCAGTTCCAACGTTAGTAGCCGTCCTGGTTCTACGGAGCCTGCGACAATTAACGACAACAATTCCAACAATTTGAATTTAGGAATCAAGAAGAGAAAAATATGACGCTTGTAATCTAGCTGTGTATTAAGTCTTCTAAAGAACTTCTATAGGACTATTATAAGAAAAATATAAGACGATAGTATTAAATATATTCATCGCAAATCTTTTCTTGCACTGTAGAAATATAATATGGCACTTTGTTTGCAGTCCAGCTGACTGAGAGATAATTGCTCATCTCATGTCTTTCAACTTTTAAATAATCAAATATTGTTTTGTCACCTGAAGCCTTATATCTTGGTCTTATAAAATTTCTCAAGCTTATAATCTTCGTACCAGGCTTTAAACCAAATAACATTCTCCCTACAGCAGTATTCAAATTAACATCGAAGAGGTAGTTATTGACAAGAAGTACATCGCATTCAATAACTGCTTGACGAACGTTGTCATTATCAACAAAACTTTGCAGGAGTGCAAAATTTAATGGTAAATCTTTCAATCCCAACAATGATAAATGCTTCTTAAGTAACATAGTCTGTAACTCAGTCAATTTGGAAGCATGCTCCATTATCTCGCAACCACCACTAAGATATACCCCGAACTCTAAAGCAGCTTGAAACGTGGTATTGCCTACCCCAGAGCCTAGGTCGTAGAATTTATGATGTGGCTGTAAGTTTACCTTAGTTAGGACTTCACTAGTAAACGAGGGCAATAATTCACCGTATACCTCAGCTGTAAAAGCCTTGTACGATCTGAGCTTCCTTGACTCTGTCGATACAATCCTCGAATATATACGTAAAAGAATTTGCTGTAAACAAAATCTAGAAACGTTAGTCTTTTCTCTGAGATGACGAAAGAAGTTTAATTCGTAGTTCTCGGGCCTCACAGCATTCACAACAACTTTATTTCTAGTACTGAATTTAACTGGGGTACACGGAATAATGCCTTTATTAGCATTATTAATGCTATTACTATCCTTAAGATTCTCTGTAGGTGGCTCATTTTCTTTGTCATCTTCTTCTGAAGATATAGGAGGTGTAAGGCGGTTTGGTATACTATATTTGAAACGAGGTTTCTTGCATTTAATTAAATCAAAAGAAGGGCTCAGTGGCTCTATAGGATCATTATCAGACATTGTATTTTCTTCACCAGTTAGTTGAATCTCTGAAAAGAAAAGATCTAAGCGAATATCTTCATCGGTGGGAATTTTGATCTCATTAGGCAGGAAATAAGCCCTAATTTCTTGGTTAATATCATGAGAACCTATATCAACATCATTGGGCGTCAACTCTACCATTAAACGGTTCCATTTGTCTATTACAAACATAAATCTAACAAAATCATTTTCCTCAATAGAGCTATCAATTTCTTTGTTGTATTCGTTTAGAATAATTTTCTTCAATTTTGAAGAATGAGAAAAAAATAATGAGTAATGAAGTTGAAAGAGCTTCTTAATCTCATTGATAGGGTCTAACTCGTTAGATTTAGGCTCAGCTAATATAAACAACTCACTGTGTTGAGGATAAAGCAAAAATCGTATTCTAATTTTGTTCATTGGATTGAGTATCATACTATTCGCATTTCTATCCATGATCGTTAATGGTGGAAAAGAAATGGGCATGTCTCGATAATTTTTACAATGCTGTGAAATAATATCTGCTGCTATAGTATCGGTTAAAGATATTTCGCTGCAATTTTGGATCATAATGTTTGCATCTTCTGTAAATAACAACTTAGGCGGACATGGCTGATCTTCATACACTGCATTCACATATAGTTGACGCCCATATAGAGGAATCAAAGTATCAGAAGATATATCTTCTGGATCGTAAGGGCTCTTTCTTTCTTCCTTTTCAATTTTAATGTTTTTTTTTGCTGAAGGCATTTCAATTTCGGGACCAATCAGAATATCTGACCTGTCAAGTTTTCCTGCCTTTAAGGACTTGGAACTCTTTCTTTCTTTAACCTTTTCAATTTTTACATCACTTTTCACTGGGTTTTTAGATTTGCTTACACCGTTCGCTTTAATAGAATTTTGACTCTTTGATCCTTTTAATTTCTTCTCTGGTTTAATAATGGGTCGTCTCTCGCGCTTTCTCTTTTGACCTTCTTTGAGTACACATCTATCACCTGTGACAGTTTGAAAATATGCTGATTCCTCTTTCAAGACTTGGACCATAGAATTTGGCTTTTTTGACTTGGTGAGCTTTTGCTCTTTACTTTTACCATCTAAAGTTTCTTTCTTTAATCGCTTTTCCCTTGTTTTAGGATCTAAGTGTTTCCTTATAACTCTTGTGCCACGCGGTTCCACTTTTTCCTCAATAGCCTCTTTTTTTAAGTTAAGTTCACTAGACTTCTTTGAATAATCTGCTTGATCTTTATGTTTCTCTACTTCAGATGCATAACGTGAATTTCTTCTACGACTCAAATTACCAAAATTATCTGAGCTATACCACTTAGCCATATATAACAATTCATCAACCTGACTTGTAAAAACCGTTCTCCTTCTATCCGGTTCTATTTCGTTTATTTTAGTTTCAATTGACAATTGACCCCTGAAAGGCAACTCGTCCATGATTGCCTTTAATTTTGTATTTCCCTTGAGAGCACTTTTTAAAAAGTTCACTTCCGCAGCTGTAAATTCACCAGATTCATCAAAACCTATTTCTTTAGCAACAGACTTCATATGCTTCATAGAAACACCAGGAAACAGAGATCTGAGTTGATTTCTTGTAAGGTCAGTAACAAGTAAATGCTTTAGGCGCGTTAAATTTATGGATTCCTTTATTTGCGTGATCTCTTTTTGAATTAGCTTTTCAAGCTCTTCTAATCTTTTTCTTGCAGTATCTCTATGTTGCGGTAACTCATTCAATTTTAATAATCTTCTGTTACATCCTTCTTTATCCATAAGAGGGAACTGGTCTAATATACTTTCAATTGACCTATTATCAGCTATTGCCTCTTTAAATAAAACAGATTCAGTGTTGCTGAAGTTTGAATGTATCTTCAATTCGTTAACAAGGTCCCTGATTTCTGCAATACTTTTATTGGGAAGCTCCCTTTGCAAGCTTCCCTTTGTGAGATCATAATCTACTAAAGAAAATAAAGAAGCTATTTCTGTCTCTGTCCATTTAGAAAAATGATCTATTCCATTTAACCTTCGTATCATACTTTTGTAGTATTGAAATTTTTTATTTAAATTGGAAAGACTACGGCACGGAAACTTGTCTTTATGATCCTTTGCGACAGAACTTGAATCATTTAATATTATTCCAGCTAATAAATATATTTCGTTTTTTGTCCAATCGAGAGTAGGTTTTAGTTCCTGAATTCTTTTTATAATCAATGCAAGTGGCTTGCTAGGAAATCTTGAAGTTAGTGTGTCTAATGTGAGATCATTCTTTATTTGATTTTCAAGTAAACTAATCTCTTCGTCTGCCCAATTGCAAAACGAAATTGAATTTGAATTCGAGAGTGATTTGGACTCGTCACTAGAGCTGTTATCTGATTTCGGGTTTGGAGAATCAGAATTGCTGTCGGGTGTATATATTCCACTGTTCATTAACTTCCGTTTATTATCACTTATGTCCAGATGGGATTTACAACCTACCGATAACGTTTCCATACTCGAGCATTCTGAAGAATCCAGACATATTGGAGTTATGTTGTATGTGCTATTATGATAAGCTATGTTCTCCATCCTATGTACAGCTTTGGAGGGTTCCAGTAACCTAATCGAATTATCTTATATCTGATTTAAACCTAGGTTGTTATGATTTCTATAATTGTTACGGTTTTTTGAGATCAAAAAAACGACAATGTCTCGCGTCTTCATAAAAACATGCTGCTTTCTTGTTCAAATAAATACACATTATATTTACATTATATAGATTGCTAGAGTTTACTAGCTCTAATACCGTTAAGTCTAAATTTCAAGTCTTTTAATAATTTACTCTCAGGTTTCCAGTTTTCAAACAGTTCATATAATTCACTAATTTCGTCATACCCATTTTTGCCTAAATCATCTCCATTGTCCACGGTTAATAGTTTATTATTATTCGGCCAGTTCTTTTCAATATTGAAAATTAATCCTCTTAAACACCAAGGTAATATAAAGGGGTTGGTACCTATTTTTCCAACATTATATTCCTTAATATAAACATGGTTCGATATTGGTACTTTCACAAGCTCTTCTACCTCGTCAACATGATCAATTGGTCCGTATGTACCAACGCCACTTGTCACTAAGTTTGTTTTCGAATTTATCTTATTCAACTCAAAAGGATACGGAAAATCCTTCGTTAATAATGTAGACGACTGAGTGGGAGGGATGACAATATCGTCAGTATCCAAAACGAATTTTACACCTAAATCATAAACCTTACCGTCATTATATATCTTAGAATGGCCACCTCCTGTCAATGGACCCGCCAAGACGGTGCTTAATTCTTTTAAAACATTGTTATCAAAATAACCTAAGTTTTGTAATTGGCAACATAATGAAACCAATTTCTGAACAAAAAGAGGAGTTTGCGATGAATGATCAATGTAACAAGCCCTATAAATATTTGGGTGAAATATATGAGATGCTAAGGCAGAATATAAAGGTACCAACTGATCATTTATGGACCCAATAAAACAAATCTTTACATTGGCATTTATAATTATTTGAGTGGATTCCTTATAAACCAAAGATTGTTGGCTGGTAAACTTAGTTAGTTCAAATAATTCTGTCATTGATTCATGTTCAATTGCCGAATACGCTTTCACAAAAAATGATTTATCGACTCCGTAAAATGGACCATTATTGATACCCGCCATACCTAAAATTCCAATCCTCTTTTGTATTGGATCCTTTAGAATACCCAATTTAATAAGCTTAGCCAAAAGAATAATCGAAACGACACATCCTTGTGAATGCGAAGCAACGAAGATAAAATCTGCTTCGTTCAATTCTTTTTGCCATGAATGTAAAATTTCAGTAAAGAATTCAACCCTATCAAATATTTTACCTTCTTTTTCAAGGGCAATTTTCTGAATACTTACATTGCAAGATTCATCTTCAGTGATTAAACCATTTTCAATACAATACCGAATAATAGCCTTTTCAGCCTCATTTGCAAATTTTAAAGAAGTACCTTTAGGAGCCCCTATGAGAGGTCTTATCATCTTTGTAGGAAAGAATCCATGAACACCAATAATCAAAATTTTCTTGATTTTGTGCAAAGGGCCAGATTTATGTGATACTATATCTGACGAATTAATGTTCAACTTGGAACTCTTTGCTGGGCGTGGCTTGTGATTAATCAATAAGTTTCCCATCGGATCATTAGTAATTGAAATTGAATTTGGATCATTTGCATCATCTTGTAGTTGATTATTTTCCAGAGAGGCATATTGAGAGGATTTATTTCCTTCATTCGATAACCTTGTGTAAAACTTATCATAGTTAGGTAAACATGCTCTCTTACCAGGTGGTAACTTAGCTAATGATCTTCCGTATAATCTGTAAGCCTTATCGTACATCAAGTCAAATTCCTTTTCCATCCTTTCATTGGTATCTGAGGTTGAGTTATCGCTACCCTTATCACTGTCATTCTCAACTACATTTGTTAATGATTGAGTATTAAAACCCAACTTACTTGATAATTGACTAATAAATTGTCGCCAGTTCGTTATGTCATTTTTAGAATTGGGTGTAGTCCCTTGATTCATAGTAGACGAATTTCCAAACAAAGTATTGGCTAAAGAACCAGTTGAAGAGGACGCAGACTGAGGTGGTAAACACAGTCGCCAATCTGGAACTATAACATTTTCCCTGAGATTTTCATTCTTGTGGGTGTTAATTTTACTAAACTGTTGAGCATTATCGTGGGGCTTATACAAAACAGCATCATCTTCTCCGCTTTGGTCCGATAATGGTGGTGTACCTTCTTCCTTATCATTGGCCCTCTCTAATTTAGTCGCCTTTTGCTCATTGCTATCAGATATATCCTCTTTATTTGGAAGTGACGGAGTTGATTGAAGAATTCTGTTCGTGATGCTTATTTTCTTATCTCTTTCTTTCTTATCCTTATTATTATTATTTGAATCATTATCACTAGCACTATGACTTCCATTGTTCCAGAAAGTCCAGGAAGAAGAAGATTTCTTTCTGTTATTGTTTGTAATCTGTTCGTCAATTTCATCACCATTATCGTCCGGGAGATAATCATTATTTTCTGCATCATCTATTTCATCGTTTTCATGTTCAGCATCATTGTTTTCTTCCAGATCTTGTTCATTATTATCACCGCTATCTAAACGGTGCTCAGAATTATCCTCTTTGCCCTTTGAAGACCAGTTTAGCCAGTTGTTGGCATTGTTTACTAAGGATGATGAAGAAGCTTTAGGCTTTATCGCCTTCGATGAGCTTAGGTCCTTCTTCAAATCCATGTCTCGATTCTTTTTCTGGTCATTCACTAATTTAGAAGTAGAATTTGTGGACGATATTTCTTCATTCTCTTTACTTCTGTTATCAAGTGTATTCGATGGGCTGTTGGATCCCCATAGCGGTAGCCAGCTACTAGTGTTGATGTTTGGTGTGCGTGACATATCTCTATTAGTATTATAATTATCGTATGCTCTTACTATATATTAGCGTAGCAATTGGTACTTTTACGGTCTGATATATTTTTATACTTATTGTAGATTCCAAACGTCAAGATTAATTAACTAATAATATATTTATTAATACAGTTATTGTTCTATATATATTCTGTGCGCAACTTCTATGGGGAAATTTCATATGAAAAATGTACCATAATTGGCGAAAACTACCATTATATGATCAAACATAAAGCTTACGGTACTGATTCAACAAGTCTTCTGAAATAGCAGAACCTCCGCAACCTATGAAAAGTATAATGTCTTCTTCAGATAAATCACCAAAGCATTTTAAATATTTAGTGTTGTCGAATGCCATTGAAATGGTAGCACCACATGCGGGCTCTACCAATATCCCAAAATGGTCATAGAAGTCAAGTGAGCCCTTTACTGCTTCAAGATCATCAATCATTTGAACATGAGTTTTGTGATTGTTGTAATTAGCTAAAGCTTGTGCCGAAATGTAGGGAGATGCCAAACATGTTACCAATGTTTTGATTGAGCCTAAAGTAACAACTTTTCCGGCCTTGAGGGCTTCTGAGAACGTTGGGGTTTGAAAAGTCTCGACAGCTAATATGGAAACATCTTTGAATTTTGCATTTCTCTGTAATCCTGTAACTATACCGTTGTAAAGTCCACCTCCACCTACGCTACAAACAACCCCTTTTATTTTCCCACATTCTTCTGGTGAAAGCTGATTTTCATTTACAATTTCGTCGATCATAGAGCCATGACCTTCCCAGAGTAATGGGTCATCAAATGGTGGACAATAGAGAGGATAAACAGATGCATCCACACTTTTCATCACAGTTTCTCTCAAGTACGAATCTGCTTCCCCCCAATGGGCACCATGAACTTGAACTTTAGCACCCATTTCTTCCAATTGTTTGATAACCCCACTGTTAGCTGTAGTTGGTAGAACGACTGTACATGCTAAATTATAATGTTTACTTGCATAGGCAGCAGCTAATCCTGCATTTCCTCCGGAGGATGCAAATGTCTCTACATTTGTCTTGTTTAGCTCATGGGCTCTTTCAATCGATTTGGCCATTAAATGCCCCATTCCCCTCAACTTAAAGCTTCCAGAAGGTTGTTCGTACTCATTTTTTATAAAAACCCGACAAGGAGGTTTATTAGGTAATTTATCAGTAACTTCGATTAAGGATGTCTTAATACTTGGCTCCCCTTTGGCTAACTTTGATATCATTTTATTAATGCAAGTTGAGTAATATAACTGTCAAAATAATGTAAATAATGTATTGATACGAGATTTTTTTCTATAATAATCCACATCAAAAAGAAGTCTCACTGATCCTGTAAAAGAATTTATGATTTAAGTGATTCTATGTCAAGGAGAAAAAATAAAGCACATGGAGTATCTATATCAGAAGAGTTTCTGCGATTAGATCCAGAAATTGAAGATGAAATCTTAGAAGCATATAGTTCCATAACCCTGGAAAGTCAAGATTTTTTCCTACATCAGTTACCTGAGTTTTTACATCAATTGCAAATACCGGCATGCTTTACCGATGATATAACGCAATGTGTCAATTACTACTATGAGCATATGCATAATGATAATGGCGACTTCAAATTAAATGAATCAAATTACAAACATGCTATAACTTTTCAGATGATTCTAGCATACACAATCACTGGCTCTGCAAATGAAAAACATGAAGTAACTATTATCGACATAGTAGATATTGATAAGCTTATTAGAAACGTCAATAAGTTAGTCAAATTCAGAAATGCATATACTCATATCTACGGGAGTTGGAAATTATTTGTGGATGCTGCAACGACTTCAACAGATAGCAGCGAATCTACCGTTACTAACCACCAATTAACATTACCAGATTTGAAGAAGATAAAATCAGTTTTGAACTTGGATGAAGCGGGTAATGGAAACGTTTCATTGGGAGACTCATTCCTTATCGACATGTTGAGCTGTTGCACAACGACTGAAAATGGAGACATTCTTAATTATGATTACAACAAGCCAAAGAAAGGTTCGTATATAACTATCAAAGATTTTGCTGAAATTCTTGGAAACTTGGGTGAGTTGGACTAAATGACTATATTTTTTATTTAGATATGAAGCTATGTTGATTAATGTACAATGAGGTTATTTACAATTATTGCTCTACAAATGGATTATAATGTATTTCGACATGTTTTATCCAACTTTCTTTCTTCCATATTCCACGAGGCTTCCCGCTTTTCTTCATTTTATCTTTATCATTCAAACTTTCATCGCTTTCTAGCTTTTCAATTGTCTCGTACCCATCTATGACCATACCAATGACAGTATATTTTGAACTGTCTCCTAATATAGCTTGGTGTTCACTCGATAAAGATATAAAGAACTGAGATCCCAAACCATCTTCGTGTTTGTCATTATTGACGGTTAATAATGTACCTCTCTTAATTTGATTCCAGCCATGAGCATTAGAATATTGAAATTCTTTTGATAAAGGTCCATTTGTTGTATTATTCTCTGGGTCAGCAGCATGTGATTCTTTTCCAGATTGTGATGGATCTCCTGTCTGTATTATGAAGTTCGGTATATATCTTAATATCCTGTTATCATTATACGTCCCTTTGGCACAATGTCTTATGAAATTCTCTGCATGTTTGCATTGTGAAATACTAGACAATCTTAATTCAATTTTAAGTGGTCCAGTTTTGGTGTGCAACTATAGCTGGTCAGTATTCCAATATTTTATGTGATATACGCTATACTTACGGTTACTGACATTGTCCTACCTCCATATCTAGGCTATTTTCAATTCATTTTTTTGATCGCGAAATACATCAAAAAGATTTGAGTTATCTTGTCAGATAATAAACGATTCAGCATCAATGAAAGAGTTCATAATATGAATATACCATATGAACAACCTCATTTACTATTTCCCTTGGCAGCTTATTTCCAATCTCAGTATGAATTCATAGATCAATTCATTCCAGAGTTAGCTAGTAGCGAGAGAAAATTGGTTCATCTCACTAACTTTAAACAATTCGAGGACTTAATATACCATTTAGAATCCACATTCCTCGTTAAGGATGAAATTGATAATGGTGAAAATATAGAAACATATCTTAAAATCCCATCTATTGACATATTTCGAGTTTTGATAACCCTTGCATCTAGGTGCCTGTCAACGTATTTTACTCATGGATCCCCATCCATAGATGGTTTGATTGCAAATAACGAATACACTAAAAATTTGAATGAAGAATATGAAAAGTGTATATACAAACCTCCTTTAAGGGATAGATGTATAATGATCATGAGACGGTATATGGATATACTTATAACTTCAACCTCTCCCACTACGGTTGAATTGGTTTATAAGCTATTTTTGGACACCTTCAAGGAATTTATAATTCAACCAGAGTTTTTTCATATCAAGGGGACACTTCCTAAGGACAGATATTTAAGATCCAAAAGGAAAATAGCTCTACGTCAAGAAACAAATGTAGAGGAGAGCCACGAGGTAATAAGTGATTCTGAAGAAGAACCACCTTCATTAGTAAATGATATTGCGAGTGAAGTTAAGAAATTCCAACCCTATAACATGTCACCCTTGAAAAGGAATACTGGTATTTTTTCTGGTGATAATTATAAGATGTCAGGCTTAAATGACTCATCCGTTTTGTTTCAGACCATGCCTCACTTAGATAGTGAATCAGATCTAGCTTCCAGCTCAGAAGGTGAGTTGTCATCAAAAAGACGCAAAGGCAGTTCAAATAGGTATAGCAAGAATTCTATATTGAATAATGTTCGTGTGTTTGGAGACTATTTAATTTCTAGGCAATTAAACCCAATGATCAATTCGCCATACAACTTGTGGAAATTGATACAATGGACATTTCACTGTGCAGATTTTTCGACTATGTATCAAAAGAAGTTACTAGGTTCAAATTGTACTAACTCCCACCTTATTTTTGAGACATATTCTAAACTTCTCAGGTTAATATTTGATTTCCTTCAATTTAATCTTATCTACCACTTAATTAAGGATCAGAAATCAAATCAATTTTTGAATATTGAAAGAAAGGATGCAAATGAGTATATGGATCCTGTTTTCACTTTCTCTCAGCTAGACAGTACTTCCAGGAAAGAGATAATAGGGATAATAGAAAATGACAGAAGTATCCTTCTTCTGAATCTTATGATGCAATTGGGTCCATCTCAAGTGGACTGGTATGATAGAGTAATAGAATATGTATTCACTGGATTGAATAAAGATAAGCCCAATTCTGAAAGTAGCTATCAACCACAACCTTGTTACGAACGAGAAAAGATATTAACCAGACATGACAATACTCTTAAAAAAGAGATAGATAGGAACTATGCTCTTCAGTATGATGATAATATCGATTCAATGAAGCTTCGTTACGGAATAATAATAATAATATATTACAGATCACTATTTTTTGCTACCGAAAGTCTCATAGATGATTCACAAGCCCTAGATGATTCCCCAACTTCACCATTATCTCCTAAACTTTTCTTGCAACAGCTTAGTTGCAAACTAATAACTCTTGATTATCTCTATCTAAGGCAGTTTTATCTTGCATACTATATGGAGACGACAGAAAATAAGTTCATTACTAGAATCTACCAATATCAAATGATGCATGAATTAACAAAGATGATGTTAATATCTTTTACAGGTTTTCCGGAAATCGAGAATTATTTATCTACAAATGAAATAATACACTCTAATAGTAATTCTGCAAAGAATTTGATGGATTTAATTGTTGACCAAAGACTCTATCAAGCTCTAGTTGAAGATGAAACTTATTCTGGATGGCAAGACTTTGAGCTGGCTTGGTCTAAATTGAATTATTTACTAGGATGGCTCCTTGAATCTTCACTAGCTGAGTTGCAGAATAATTTAAGGGAATCGAGTGAAGATATTGAATTGGTGAATTTTATATTCAAAAGAGTGGAAAAAGCAGATCGCATAAAAATTAAGTGGTACAATAGATTTATCTTGAATCACTGCAAAGATAACAACAAGTCCAATAATAATCACGTAGAATATCATTTCTATCTATCGGATGACGAAGCTCTTAACCACCTCGTTAATGATAAATCTGAAACTATTTGGGTCAGATTCAAGCACGTAGTCCTATTGAAATTTTCCAAATATATTAATGAACAATTTACATGATAAATGATTAACTTTAATTCTTACTGTATATAATTTAGCTATTTAATAGATCATTATGCTATAAATATATAACAAGTCTTAAATGATATGTTTAACCTTGAAATAATGTCTCAAGTATTGAACTTGCCAAGCACCTAAACCAACAAGAGATGTAATGATTAAGAGAGAAAACCATTTTACTCTGGAGTTAGTGGATTCATTAGTATCTCTCATTCTTTCTTCTCTGGCCTTCAAATATTGCAATTCTCCAGTGATTTCGTAAGTCATTTCTTCGATTCTACGTAAGTCAACTTCGACTGGTTTCAATTTTTCAGCAGCTTGTACAGCGTTCCAATCTCTTGCAGCTGCACCGCTTTCAACATCTAATTCGATTTCCCTTATAAAGTTGGTGTTCTTAGACCACTTTCTTTCCAACTGGTTAGTGAAACAAATATCAAAAGCAGCACTGTCATGACTATTGAACCCAATTTTAACGGATCCAGCAATGTCATTTTTACGGCGGTATTCGTTACCTAACAGGTCTACTATTCTCAAGTCAAGTCTTTGACCATCTCCTGAATGACCATTAGTCTTGATATTAACAACAACCAATTGATCCTCTTGAACAAAATCACGAATACAGAATGGATCTGGATTAGTGGTTGCTGGAATAGCCAATTGTAAAGCAGAAACCAACGAAACAAAAGTCGATATAATGAATAACAAATTAGAAATTGACCTCATTTTGCCAGGAATTGTTATGATACTCTGTTTGAATTCCGTTAACCTTAGCTTGGATTCACTTTTGGTTTTCATCCAATTCAGTGATTTGTTAGCGTGTCAAGTTTTCAATAAATGTCGTGTAAATCAAGCGCGTCGCGCGACATCATTGGATTTCATATACGACATAACTTTTCATTTATTACTACTTATGGAAGTCTAGTTAGACATTAATTTTTCATTTTTCGTCGTGAAGGTTATAACAGAAATTTGATTTATTGGTAACTAGTAAACCATTATACCTAGAGTCTTATAATATTCAAAATGTCAAAGGCAAAGACAACGCATACTATGGTGAAGCTCGTGTCAGCTGCTAAAACCGGATACGAAAAATGGTTCAATATCCCTAGACACACTCAAAAATTGAATTTAATATTATATGATCCAATCGCTAAAAGACATTGCCTTTTCCAAGAGGACAAGAAAAGAAGAGTTCCTGAAGTTATAGCTAAAGATTATAATAGAAGACACCGTATTTAAGTGTTGAAATTCTGTCTACAATTTATCTGAACTTGACTCAAATAGTTCAAATCGCATAGAAATTATTATTAATATTATTAATAGCCGTGGTTCACCTAAGTATAGTTACTTATTACTGAAATGCCGTATTCCACACTGAGAAGGATATTAAATAACTCTCTCTTTACTTGTATATATTAGGATTCATTGTTGAATGAATCACCACATCAAATAATATTACGCATTGTGTAAGAAAACATTGAAATTATGTAGCTGATTATTGTATAGCATTCGTTCAAAAAAAGCATGGATTTTACAACTATACTTCGTTAAAATAGAAGACTATTGGAGTAT